TTAAAGCGTTCTCTCTTCCTGTTTATATGCAAGTGGGCGCGTGTGAAATAATATTCTGAAAAGCACAATAAGCTGCAAAATGCAGTTTACACTTTGCACAAACGGTTATATGTACGTATGTACATATGTATGTATGCTAGGCATTGGCAAAATGAAAGCTTACAGAGCAGTGACGAACAAACTTAATACAAAAATTAAAAAAAATCAGTTTATTTGAATATAGTTATATGTTTATATATACTTATATATTTACTTATGTACATACGAATACATATGTTTACATAAATATGTATGTTGGTATGTACTTATGTGCCTAGCCTCCCATTAAAATTGACCTATAGCGCTAAGCTACACACCTAGAGTTATCGCCTAAAAGAGGTGATTTTGAGAATTTTTTTAATCAAAACTATTGCATGAAATTTTTAAAATTATATATATACAGTTAATCAAAAAAGTTTAGGCACACCGTAAACTTAAATGTCTATTCAAAAATTACAGGTTTCTCTTTGAATCTACAAATGTAACAATACTCATGTGTTTCAATTTCAAAATGTTTATTATATATTTAACTAAAAAAGATTTCATATTTTACACATTTTTAAAGATAATGAAATTATAATAGAAATATAAAAGATTCTACATAAAAAAAGTTTAGACACACATATGGAAAATATTGTTTTGAATCCGGTTTTTTTAAGTATAATATTTTGCTAAACCTCCTTTGGCCTGTATAACAGCTTCCAACTGGGTTAGATGTTTGCCCATTCTGTACGCATACCATCTTTAAGAGAATCCTTGGATTTTATATGGAGAGTAGGTATTTTTTTCCTCCTTTGGCCTGTATAACAGCTTCCAACTGGGTTAGATGTTTGCCCATTCTGTACGCATACCATCTTTAAGAGAATCCTTGGATTTTATATGAAGAGTAGGTATTTTTTCCAGTAGATGCCAATAAGCTTTATAGGGTTAGTGTTTGGGGATTGCGGAGGTGTTTTTAATTGCTTACAATGGTTGATAAGCCATTCTTGCATAAGATATGACGCATGCTTCGGGTCATTGTCTTGTTGAAGCAAGAATGACTGCCCACTTAAGCCCAACTTTTCAACGCTTGGCGCTAAGTTTTCCTTTAAGATTTTCAAATATGAGTGCTTATCCATTTTATCATAGATAAAAACGAGATTTCCTCACCAGATGCTACAGTGTACTCCCAAACCATTACGCCACCATGTTTCACCCCGTGTTTCACAGTCTTAATTGTATTACTTTTCTGGAGCTCTATTTTTCGTTCCAGAAATAATTGGCTTACGTCGTAGAACTAGCTCTCGATAACCAGTTTTGTGTAAAGTATTACGTACAGTTTGGGGTTCAAAGTTTTTTTCAAAGCTTTGTTGCATCTCTTAACACAGCTTTACTGCTGAGTGACTGCAGCTATTACTGCTTGTTTCTGACGTGGTGTGAATTTTCTGGGTGTCCAGATCTGTGCTCAGGCTCTAAATTTCCGATGTTGATGTAGTATTTTACAATATTTGGCGCACTTGAATAAGGTCTCTGTACTATATTATTAATTTCTCAATAAGATTTTTGCTGCACGTTTAAAATAAGTATGTATGTGATAAGCTGAATAGAGAAAAAAATGTAAAAAATAAAACGTATATTCCCTAAAAACTTAACTTACTCACAATTTCACAAATAGCGGAATATTTCTTTTCTTGGTATGATATACAGCACGCAGCTCGTATCTCAAGGCTATTCCGGAAAATGCTTGAAATCACGCTGGCAGCGACGCATAATTTTAAAATTTTAAAAGTTTTTAAAGAATTGTAACGATTGGTTGAATAATTTTTTTTTTTAATCGACCCAGTACTATTACTTTCCGGACAAACCCTGTATTTGATTGTTGATTATGAAACGCGTTCTTCTCGACTCATCCCGATAAAGCTGATTTTTTTTCTGCAAAAAGAGTACCATGACAGGTCTCTTTGGACATGCTTGATTGTGTGAATTCCGATTCCACATTCATGAAGAATTACAACTAGCGATGAGACATAGGTTTATGAGTTTGATATGCAAACAAGTCAACAATCGTCGAAAGGAAATCCGTTTTCAGTCAATTTAAGAGATAAAACAGAATTTCCTGAAGCAGATGAAGGCCATCTCAAAAACTGCTTATGAAAAGTTTTTCAAGGACTGGAAAAATCGTTGGCTTAAGTGTATTACATCTGATGAGGATTACTTTAAAGGCGACAAAATAAATTCTAAAAATTGAAAAATATTTTGCGTTTTATTTACAGTTTCCGGGTACTTTTTTGCCACAGTGTATATTAAATTTATTAGGGATGGGGCCTCGCCCACTTATCAAGGATTTTCAAACATACATACATWAATGCAGTTCTTTAATATTATGTAATTCGTCGTGCCAAATTTGAGTTCTGTATTTTAATTTACGGTTTAGTTATGGCACTGTACATGTTTTCGATTAATAAAGTTTTGTGTGCGTAGTGGTGTGCCGATTACGCCCATCTACAAACTCGTAATTTGTACTAAGGAGGCTGCATAGCGAGTTTCATCAAGATATCTTAATTTTTACCCAAGTTACAGCTTGCACGGACAGATGGACATACAAACAGTCATCCGAATTTCAACTCATCTCGACATCCTGATCATTTATACTTGTATATACATATGTATCTATCTCGGTTATTTAGGTACAAACAACCGTTAGATGAACAAAACTTTTGTCTGTAGCAACGTGTTGCAAAAGTTGAAAAATCAAAGCAATCGGATAATTTGCCTTCGAATTACAATTGTTACCAATTTACAGAACCGACCCCAATAATCTTTTAAAGTTTAAAGCTAGTATTATATAAATCGTTTGCAAAATATCGCTTTTCGACTCTTAAACTAGTAGTACAGCAATTTATCCAACTTTACACACACTTTTTAAAGAGTCAGAGTGCAATTCAACGTTAAATCAGCACTATAATTTTGGCTATTAAAGCCGTATTTTCCATTGCTCATCTGTCTTCCGAGCGATAGTTCAGTATTCATCTTCTTTCAGCAAGTTCGATGCAGCAGTGGCTCCGTGTTCCGACAATTGTCACAGAAACAAAAATCGAATCACTGACCGATATTGCTCTTTTTTCATTTCCTTAAAATGTTTCCAAATTTCCATTCCACAAATAAATTCGCGCCATGGGGCAGTAAGGCTAAGTACTTACCGGACCGATATCCAAGATAGTTGAACTTCGGTGGCAGAATAAAGTAACAGGAAGCAAAGTCTGGCGAACTGAATGTTTTAGCAGTAACTTTTGTTCATGCTTTGTTGGTAGACATTTATTTTCCAACCTTTACTTGATGTTGTTTTTGTAAAAAAGTTAAAGTCCGTTGATATTAGTCGGGTGACAATAGACTTCATTTAACAAAAAAATTAAGGTGTTGAAACTATAAAAAAAAAAAACATATATTGAGAGTAGCGGATATATGTAGATCTCATTCTAACTGCATAGTTTCTGAGCATTTGAAGCTTTTACAATACCCCCAATAGTTTTATAGTTGGGTTCTCTACAAAGCAAAGTTCATCAAACATTTTTGATGTTTTCACAGAATAACTTTCTGTTGGAAACCGAGCAAGCAAAAGTTTTCATTTCCATAACAAAAATTTATGGAGGTATAAATGCATATTAATAGTGCACCATAACATAAATACGATAGTACCCCGTTACCGGATAAAAAACGCTTCCGATTTCAAGTCCACTATCAAAGTCTTAGATTTCTATATTTTTATATTTTGCTTTCAAATTGAGTATTACCAGCAATTGAAAACCCGTACATATTTACCAGGCACTATAAAAACAGGAGTTTGGCTAAATAGCTACGGAACTTTTCCTGAAAGCAGCCACAAATCATCGCTATAGAATGTCTACTTTTATTGATTATTTTTTCCAAAGATATGGTTTGAGAAAACATCTCTAATACCCGCATCTTTGAGGCAGAAGATAGTTTCTATATTTCTTTCCTCCGCAATTGCCGCCCGTAATAGAACCATCCTAAGGTAATCTGGTAAATTAATACTTCGCTCTTATCAAATCCACTTTGAACACTATACAGAAAGATGCCTGTTGCAATGTGAAAGTTTTGTTAAAATTTTGTTCTTTTAAATTCTCTCAACCGTAAATTGGTACGCACACATACATAGCCTTACTATTGAGAATACTGTGATGAGATAGTGGTTTCCAATCATTGATAAAAGTTAATATATACATAATATATACTAGTATATATGTATGTATGTCCGTATATACAAATGAATATACACATAAATGAGAAGGCAACTTATTCTACATATGTGTATTAGGGTATACCTTATTAATTTTACAAATTAATAATAAGATTATACTACGATAATTTATAAAAAAAAATAATAATAATTAAGAAGGAGCCGAGTCCAGTGTATCGAGCTACAGGAAGTCATAATATGTAATATATATATGAGAAATATTCTTCTTTTCTGTATTGGCGAAAACACTGCGTACGCGGTTATAGCCGAGTTCACAACAGCGACCCGTCGTTCTTCCTTTTAGCTGTTTGGAGTGCTGATTGGAGATTCCAAGTGTAGCTAGATCCCTCTCCACCGACGGAAACTGCGTCGAATACTCTCACAGCTCGAGTTTTTTTATTCATTCGGATGACATAACCTGCAATTTCAAGGCCGTCGTATATCTCTGCCGTATTCGCCTTTGCATTAATGTGATCAAAAAAGTAAGGTGTGGTGCATTATAAATTTATATACTGCTGGGAGAAACTGTCAACGAAGAACATTATTTCAGCGTTATACGTCGTTTGTGTCAAGGAATTTTGCTGAAACGGCCGAAATTATGGGAAAACAACTCTTGGTTCCTTCATCACGATAATACACCAGCATTGGTTATTCGCTACATTTTTGTCAAAAACTCGTTTCATATCGTTCCGCTTTGGAAATATACTTCTAATTACGTTAACATATTTGATTTGCGTTTATTATTCATAAAGCACACATTGTTTTTTTTTAGAGTATATACATTTATGTAAGCAAATATTGTCTTCTACTGTTAATAAATTGTAATTGTCATAACATACACATCTGTTTTGTCAAGTATCTTCATTATTAGTATTATTATATTATTATATAATAAATTTAGTTTAGAGATTTTGGCGAATTTCAGGTTAGGTTATGTAAACTTTCTTATATGTATGTACAAACTGCACTAAATACTTATTAAATTAATAAAATTTGTAGCAATCTACTGTTAACTTACACACGTATGGGTCAGTACACATAAACATTATATATAAAGCTGTAATAGTCATATATAAATCGACTTGCTACATTAAGTACTACTTCTACGCTTCTCCTCATTCTTTACGATATTATCTAGCACATTCTCCAAATTTTGTGTTGCTGCTGCTAGTTCAGTATTATCACTAAAAGAGTCCTCAACAATCTCTTTAACTTTATTCAATAACAGCTTGAAATTAATCATATCGGTATCACGCAAGTCAACAATTTCAAATTCGTCATCTATTTCCGTTCCATTTCCCTTAGGTTTTGAACTAAATTCTTGAACAGTTTCCACACAAGAATCTGTGATGGTAGTGTTCGGTATTAAAACCGAAGATCTACGCTGATTAAACCACGTACTCACATCGTTAACAGAAGCATCCGATTTATTGGCTTCCAAATAACTTCGATTCAAGTCGGCGCCATTAACTGCGTAACATATAATGAAATTACAAAACTTATACAGTATACTATAAAAAACTTAAAATTACTTACTCGAATGTGTTAGATTGCTTCCCATAACACTAAAGTTGTCCACTGCGGCTGCTACGTTTTGCATATGCCCTTTGTCAGAATGGGATCGATTAGGCGTGCTCGACGTGGGATATGAACTCAACGACTTCGATATTTGCTGAAAGTAGATTATGTACATTTTTGTATACAAATAAATAAAAACAATTAAATTAAGTTCTTTTCCTACCGAAAACCTTCGCATTTCATTTATGATTCCAATCAGAAAATTTTGATGCGATTGCAGAAAATCGGAAATTTCCTCATTTGTCGCAGTTTTCACGATTTTAATTTGTTTTTCCAATTTCCTAGAACGACATAAAATAAAAATTTAAAGAATTACTACCTTCTGATCTAATTTTTTCACAATACCACTGTTTCATGAAATTTCATAACTAGTTTAAAAACTAATAGTAGGCAAAAAATTTTAAGGAAAATTCAACAAATAAGTACGGATTTATACTTACGAGTTCTGCTGCAATAGCCTATCTATAATAGACTGCAGGTGTTCCGAAACATTTGATGCAGTTGAAGCGCTAGTTGAAAGTCCAGCAATCGAAGCTAGAATACACGTAAGAATTAAATAAACTGTTTTGAAATATATAATAATTGAAATTTTCAAATACAGTCTAAATCAAGAAGTCGCACTTATATTCGGCCATAATTTTTCGCTCGTCAAAATTTTCGACGACACCTTACCAAATATTATAAAACTCATAATTACTTTCGATTGCATCCGTTTTGACTTCAGCAACTGTGGTCATTGTTTCACTTTTGACTGTGTGATCAGATGCTATTATTTCCAGTTCCGTTTCATCAACACTGGTAGATTCGTCTACATTACAAAAGCCTTTAGATTCTTCGTTGCTTTGTTTCTTCATTTTGAAAAAATTGCAAATTGAAGCAAAGAAATAAGAGATACTCTTGGGCGGTTCATCCTAAACGAAGTAATACATATTCAAATGTAAAATAAATTTTTAATAAAGTAAATATTACCTCTTTGAATACTTCGGTCAGACGATGCCCTGCGTCATGTTTTCCTTTTACGTAACCCTTGGCGAAACAGGATAAACAAAGGGACAAATCGTGGCACGATCTACATTTGAAGCGTATTCCGATTATTTGAATATTACAAGCAGCACAGTTTTTGTTATGTGTAATTTTTTCAGTGTCTTGCATGCGTTTAATTAAACTTATCAGATTTGCAAAAATGCTAAACTTTGTGCGATTATCATGCCATAAATTTTTGAATTGCACCTCAGTTAAGCCATACGAATTCTGTAACTGAATATAAATAAATAAAAATAAATATGTATTTAACTTTAAAGTATTTACTACTCCTGTCTCTTATACACATGTATTTACTACTCTGTACAGACGTGAGGTAATTTATTTATCTAGTCTGACCTTCTCAAAGCACTGTTCCATTATTATGGATTTATTTTGAGAACCATAAGCAAGCTCCTCACCGATATAGCTAAACACTTTCGTCAAAATATTCACCAAATACTCGAAGTTTTTCTTTGAAATACACTTAGTCTTAGGATCATGCAGCAATTTATAAAATTCTTCACTCCAATCAAGTAATCCAATATGTTTTGAAAGTAACAAAAACATAACTTTTATTTCTAAAACAGAAATGGAATGGCATCGATTCCTACAATCAAAATTAAATATTTAACCAAAATATTTAATAAAATATACACATGTGCACTCACGGATCAAATAAATTCCAAAAGAAAGTCGCTAACACACTTGTTGCCTTTTCAATACGATATGTTGTGGATTTACTGAAATGTCCTAATGTTTCACAAGCATAGTAGAGATCATGAATAAACGTTGTCAGCTGGAACGGGGGTACCATAAAATTAGCATCTACGTCCAGTATATTATATCGCCCCATTAACGCTTGTATAAGTTTGTATGGTATATTTGAAGCTAAGAAACACAAAACAGTTACTAAATTATGATAAAATATTGCTGTTTGTGCTTACTAAACAAAAGTTTTTGAAGGCTTATAATTTTAGAGGCGCATCGATAGACGGTGTATTTGTAAGCAGCATGTTCCTCCTGCACAAATACTAAAATTCCTGATATTTTTGTATAATCCCAAGAACGACTTTGCTTTTGGTCTTTGCAACATTTGTTCGGTGAATCTTTTACCGTTTGTGGCTGCACAAATAATGCCGCAGCGTCCATTCTTTTAAATACACCAATTTCACCAATTTCAATAGTTTATATATTTTATTAAAAATTATAACCCAATTGAATTTTTTTCTCCGCGGTTAATGGACGGTTTCAAATGAAGTTGTCAAAATTTAAATATTTGTATACAAAGAGTTGGCAACAATGCAACAGGTTCAATATGAAAGTTGCCACATTATTAAACTATTACATAAACATTTGCATTTTGTGCACCCTGTGCCATGACGTCATCGCAGAAGGTGATTAATAGAGAAGGATCATGGTCTGATTAATAGAGAAGGATCATGGTCTGCCGATTTCACCATAAGAAATTATTTGCGGATTTCACCACAATTAACATAGGAAAAGTCGAAAGTTGCAGAAATAGAGTATTTAAGGGTAAAATGAGAAAAATGATGTTAATTTCAATGCAAAGAAATGTACGCTTACAGATTCATTTATTTACTAATCTGCATATAATTTAGATATTTTCTACATATTTGATATCAAAGCACTTTTTCATGAATTGCATGAAATGTTTTAAAATATGTAATAAAGTAATGTTTGTATTATATACATATATATTTGTATTTTATTGATATATAATATGTACTTTATAAAACATATTCATATATTTATTTGCTTTGGTCATTCAAAGATTTGGAAACATCTGAAAACAATCAAGCGCTCGTACCCTTCCGACGACAGTGGGGTCTACATAATCGAAACCGACCCGGACTTTTTAACCGGTTAAGGTCTGCAATCTCGGCAGATTTCTACCGCTACAACAACAACGTTACTGTTTCCAAGTTGTTTATAGAATGTCATATGTTACCCAGTAATTTTGATTTAATTCTAACATTCTCGGGTTTTCCTTCACTGGACTTAGCAATAAACAAATTTTTTACTTAGTCATAATTTATGCATCTATAAAAGTATTCCCAAATACATACATAATAATCAAAAATTCGCGTGTGATTTGTATATCCTGATAACTAATTTATTAATATATTATATTTGATGTTTAGGTTCTACAAAAGGTTCTTATTATTACGAACGACTAGAGCACCTTATATCTGCCTTTGTTAAAAACGTGATGCGCTGAGCTTAATTTCAGTAGTTCCTCCTTGATGAGACGCGTTATCTCGCGTTTTGCCTTTTGTACAGCCAATTCACTACAGCTTTCGATCGCCAAGTATAATTTACGTTCACCTTCAGGTGGATTTTTACCTGGTGGTACGTAGGTACCACGAACCGTTAGTCCAGCTTCGGAATATTCTGATATTTGAGCTAATGCTTCTTTGGATGTGACCTTCCAACGAGCTTGCTGTGGGAAATCATTAATTTCAAGTTCTTCTTCATACTTTGTGAAGGAATTTGGTTGATTTGGTAGCAAAGGATTGGATCCATCCTCATCATCTTTTGGCTGATAATTCAATTTGTTATTTAATTTAGCAGCTAATTGTTCTACTACTGAACGTGCCGTTATCATGGGTTGTCCTGTGTTGCCGCCCTTTAGTATAGTTTCCGCAGACACTTGTGGTTTACCGTCCGCCATTAAATTCTTTGTTGAACTTATCTTTGAAGCGAGACGTTTAGCCAATTCTAATTTGTCTGAACCAGAAACAGCAATTGTAACGTTGCTGACTGTGGAAGTCGTGGTACCCGTGGTGGAAGTCACCGCTACAGCTGGTATTGGTACCGAGGTATCTTTAACTGTTCGTTTCGCTGCAAATATCTGTTCAATTTGTTGATCAATATCTTGTTCAATATCCTCCTCATCATCCGAATCCGCCAGCCCAAGTGCCGCTTTCTGCAACTTTTTACTCTCCTTTGCGGCGTTAGCTTCTTGTTCATCAAACTTGAAACCCTTTCCACTAAAGCCACCACCAGTATGAACTTTCTTGCCTTCAGCTTCTTGTGCTGTTTTGTACTCAGTCCATAACTTTTGTAAATCATCAGGAACTTTCGTCTCGGATAATTCCAATGCACGTATAATGTCACCAGCATAACGTGCTTGTTCTGCTGTGAGAAATGTCCAAGCGCAGCCCTTTTTTCCGGCTCGTCCGGTGCGTCCACATCTAAAAATTCAAATGGTATTATTAGTAAATATTGTAGTAAAACAAATATGTATACTATTTTACCTATGAACATAGTCTTCATAGTGATTTGGTACGTCATAATTTACTACTAGTATCAAGTCTTTCACATCCAAACCGCGTGCAGCCACAGATGTTGCAATTAATAGACGAACTTTTCCCGATTTAAAATCAAGTATTGTAGAATCGCGATCAAACTGGTCAATACCACCATGCAAACTCATACACGGGTACGATGCTTTCATAAGATCTCGCAGCAATATATCGGCATTCTCTTGCTTATCCACAAACACAATTATACTACCATGCTCTTGATACACACCGAGCAACTCAAGAAGTTTGAAGAATTTTGCCTCGTCTTCTAGTATGGCTACATTCTGTTCAACATCTTTGCACACCACCGAACGCCCACCGACAATTACTTCAATGGGCTTTTTAAGTATACGACGTGCTAATGCCTCCATTTGCCGTGGGAATGTTGCACTGAACATTACCGTTTGTCTATCTGGGCGCACATTATCGATAATGCGCATCACTTGCGGTTCAAAACCCATATCAAACATGCGATCAGCTTCATCCAGAACAATGTACGTCACCCTGCGTAAATTTGTGACACGTCCAGAATTGGCCGCCAGCATGTCGATCATACGCCCGGGTGTGCAGACAATGATTTCTGCGCCACGTTTCAATTCAGCTATCTGTGCCGATATACCAGTGCCACCGTACACGCAGACAGGGCGTAGTCCAATATTTTTCGAGAATTTACGTATGTCCTTGCCGATTTGCATACATAGCTCACGGGTTGGTGCCATGATAATAGCGATAGCTCCATCACCATCCTCTAATGGCGGCTGATCCAGTATATGCCTAAACATTGGTAAAATGAATGCGAGCGTTTTGCCACTGCCAGTTTTAGCAATACCTATCAAATCACGTCCAGACATAATTGCCGGAATCGCCTGACATTGGATGGGTGTTGGTTTCTCGAACCCTAGTTTGTGCAAAGTATCCATTTCTTTCTTGCTCACCCCACATTGTGCCCAGGTCTACGCAAAAGAAACCGAAACAAATTATAAACATATTTATGTGCTTATACATATATCAGTTAGAGGCAAAATTAAATTGTAGTTGCGACACTTAATTTACCATGAACAATAATTGTATATACAAGTACAAATATAAGTACTAAACTCCTCATATTGCAGTCAACCAATGGCAAAATATCGCGTTTCGAATTTAACCTCATACAACATATGTACGTAGACAAAGCAAGAATGCAAAATTATAAATTTTTTTCAACTAAATTTGTTCAAAAACTTGTTTTGTGAATATATAAATTTGTTTAGAAAATGTTTACCTTGATAGGCTTTGGACAACCCTTCCCTTTAACTTGAATTCCTTCTAGATCGGCACGATATTTGTCCACTTCTTGTTGGGACATGCGCGCCAACTCTGGTACTTCAACGTAGAAGTTTTTACGAAATGGTGCATAATTTACGCCCGAATGATCGATTTTAGCTAATTCTTTTCGGTGCTTGTTGGCTAAATTGGCGGCAGTATCTTTAATGTCTTCTAATTCCTCCTCACTAGAATATTCCAGACTGTCCATGTTTTGTTCAATTAGCTCGCCTTTGTTTGCCTTTTCTATACTCTTTTTAGCTACACCCGTGAGAATGACAACGCCTTGCTGTTTTTTGGGTTGTGTTACAATATGATTCACGTTACGCACTTCCTTGTCAACTTCCTGCATGTACGCATCTAAAGGATCAATATCATCATTTTCATCAACTTCTTGTTTGGTTACTTTATCATCATCATTCTCGTCATCATCAAGTTTGGATAGCTTTTTAATTTTTGGTTTTTCTTCTTTTTCATCTTCGTCATCCTCTTGCAATTTTTTCAAACGTAGAAATTTCGCGGGCGGAGAATCTGGCTCTTTCTTAATATCTGTTGCTGGCACTGCTTGATTACCATTATCTTCTTCTTCAGACTCGTCTTCCAAACTCCACTTTTTGGAAGTGCTAGATGGTATTGGTATTGGCAGAGATTTTAGATCTTTCTTATTGATTTCTTGTTCCTTCAGTTTTCGTTCAGCACGCCAGCGTTCGATGCGTTCCCTTCGTTTTATCATCTCTTGTTCAAGGCGACGTTGTTCCTCTTCCTTGTCTAATTCCTCTTCTGAAGAGCTACTCGGCTCCTCAACGACTGTCTTTACTATGGGTTGCACAGTATTACGCCTACTGTCTATTTCCTCTTCACGATCCTGATCTCGTTCTCGTTCACGGTCCCGATCACGATCGCGCTCACGATCACGTTCCCGGTCACGAGCCCGATCTCTATCTCTTTCTCGCTCTCTTTCCCGTTCACGTTGCTCTCGTTCACGATCCCTATCTCGTTCACGTTCTCTTGCGTTTTCTCTATCGCGATCAAAGAATCTCCTAAGCATGGAATAAAATCAGTTGAATTATTATATTTTTGTAAAGCAGAATACTTACGATTTCTCTCGTTCATAATCTTTAGGAATGGATTTTGATCTAGAACGCTTTCGTCGTTTATCTTCCCGTCTACTCCGTTCAATTTCTCTTTGTTCTCGCTCCCTGTCTTTTTTACGGTCATCACGACCTCTACCGTTTCCATTGTCATTTCGAAAAGATTTGCTTTCTTTAGGAGATCTTGATCTACTTCTGGAATACCGGCGTTTTTCACGTTCCCTTTCCTTCTCTCGCTCTCTTTCACGGTCCCTGTCGCGGTCGCGTTCCCTTTCACGGTCTCTCCTAAAGTATTGCTGTAAAATATATTTACAAAAGTGACAAAAACTACTCACCCCGAATAGGACTTGGACATTATGATAGAAAGGCAATGTCGTTCACTTCCAACTGGTTGACCTTTCGACAGTTCTTGGTATTTCCCGGTAAAAACTAAATTAGTATATCCACAAGGGTTCCTATTTATTAAATTATTTTAATACTTGGTTTCTTATCTGAACACTATCGTATTTCTCATTTTTATTAGTTAGTTCTCCAAAAAAGTATAAATGTATAAAAACAATTTCTAATGAACCAACATCAGAAAACCACGATATGATGCATTCACGCAAGTGACAAATTATTGTGAATTAATTCTGTCGTTTGAACAGAGATGTGCCTTTTTAGCATTTTGCGAACGATACGAAAACTATCGCGTACTAATCGACCCTGCTTATTATTTGAATAAATGAACATATGGAAATTTCTGTACTTAAAAAAACTAAACATTTCGCTAATTTATAAAACAAAAAAGATACATTTTTATAGATGTAACAACATTATTTTTAATTACTTTTGTATGTTTTGTGTTTTATGTGATTGTAAAATTATTTATAAGTTCCCAGGTCTAAATTTTTAACTAACCAATGTGTACATTAAGATGTTCCTTAAAAAATTAATTTAAACCTTTTTTTATTATCTATATATATTTTGTACATTGATAATTTATGAACTAAATTTTGTATTTGGTGTGGCATCTCATTTTTCACAGAAGAGTTTTGGCAGCATTGATATTTGTTAAATGGACTTGCAACACTGGAAATCAGCTTTTGTATTTCTGTCAGAGTGTGTGTGTGCCAAAATCTTAAAAACCCGACCGACAAATTCCGGAAAGAAAACACAAAAATAAGGCGAAATACTTCAAACTTTAAATTTAGCAGCAGCAGCCTTGGTTTGTAAGTTAAATGTGCGTTTTCTTGTTACAGATTGGACTTTTTAGCCTCATTGCCGGCAGTGTTTGATGATAGAAAATTACCGAGTGAGTGACGTTGATGTGATAGATTTCGAACATACGGGCAGTGTAAGAGGAGAAAAGTAATAAAAGATTACTTGGAGGGGGCGGTAGTGAAGATAATAGTTTTAAACGAATATAAATGTGGAGCAATTAAAACAGTTACAAAAAGTGAAACTAATTCCTAAATCAGTTAATAACTTTGTTATCACGCCGTATAGTTTCATCAACAAGACTCTTGCTTAATGATCTGCTTATTAATGTCCTATAAGAATGACGTACAAAAGTATAAGGTGTTGGCCGCAACTTAAGAAAGCAATATTCTGTTTTGTCAATCTCGTTTTTATTGTTCTTTGTTGAAGAAAAACTCATGTGTCAATCAATGATATAACTTCTTTATCCTTTAAAATAAATCGTTTGAATGAGTTAAAAATTGTGTTCAATAAGTTAGTCGCTTTAAATGTTATAAGCCTACATCTATTGTTTTAAAGCATATTAAGAATTCTCTAAAATACTCTGATTAGGCTGTTTATATCCTTGTGTAGTGTATTAGTTAAATTGATAAACATGGGCATTTATATCTAAACGTAAATAAAATATGTCATGAAAGCCCCTAAAAGGCTTCAAATTAGAATGAACATTGCCAGTATAGAAGCTGCAACTGGGTGCGTCTAACTTCCAATTCGATTAACTATACGGCAATGCACAAACCAACACCATTATTGACAATTCCACTTTTTCGCTTTACGTTTATATCACAAGTATTTGAGTATGAAATATGTATGTAATATATATGCACGTTTTTAATAAGTTTTATATTGATGAGATTCTATATTCTCCTAGGTTAAATTCTTTACTGGTATATAATAAAATACCAGGTTTTTGAAGATATGGACAGCAGTGGCGCTGTTGGCAGGCGCCGAGGCAATTCACGCATAAATGCTGAAGATCAAGCCCTGGATCAAATAGCAAAAGAAGTGAGTAAATTTACTAGACTAATTAAATTGTACATTTCCCTATGGCGAATTATTCATGTCATTCGTTGAGGATATTGCTGTTCTTGTTGTAGCAAAATAATTCTGACGAGTTGACAGTCTTTGATCGAATAAAAAATGTGGGTGCGTTCTGGTTAGGTATACTCAAATATCGTTGGAGCGGTTATTGCTAAATGATTAGCATAACTTTCGTAACTTCTTAATAATAAAATATTCCGGAAGATATATTAGGTATCAGAAATTTCCATATACATATGTATGTATGTAGTTATACTGCTAAAACAGAGAAAATTTTTTGTGAATGGCAAAAATTTTTAAAATGTTTAATTACTCAAATAATACAGAAGTTTGAGATTCGGTTAGTGGTGTTTTCTACTTTGGGATCTAGGATCCATATTAACCATTTTTTATTAAGTTATTACCTTATTTTAAAATTTCTTCTGTGTGTATGTTTCGATTTATCGGTGATTTGAATTTTCAGTATCTTGATCGGCATTATATTATATGCCTAGTTTATCCATATATTATAATTAGTTTTTTTATTATAAAGAATGATACCATTTTAAAAAATGACTCACAATTCCCACTATAACAAAATATATTTTAATCCAGCAATTTAAAATTGTCAAATCGGCAGCTAAAACAACGAAATTAGACTTTCAAGATATCAATAAATCTTAAATTGCTCTGTATCCTGTCATTAGACAAAATTGAGTATTAAAATAGTAGTATGTTAGTATTAGAAAAAAAAAATGTTATAAGAATCATATTTGCAACGATCGACAAATTTAAGACGTACAAGGTTCATTTTAATCCAAAATATTTTCGTTAGAATTTATCTGAAGTGCTTGGTTGCAAGGGTAACCGCAAAATCGTCGGACCCAAGCAGCCCCACTAAAGGCATTATTAGGCTTATCATGCTTAATTGTTATTCAATATAATTCACAGTTTGAAAACACACAGTTACAAAATCGGAACGGTTCAGAATTTTATTCCAAATAGGAAATTATGGTAAAATTTGTTGTAGATTCCGTTCCTATGACAATGAAGCCTATGTAACCGAGAAAACCCAAAAACTGTTAACTCCGAGCAAATAAATTATAAAATTCTGTTCGATCGCAAAAAAATTATTTTAAAATAATCGTTATTTTAATGTATACATATACAACGTCTAGCAAAATTTGTATAAAACTTTGATGTGTTCAGTTCTCCTCGTGAGGTTCAAGAAACAAAATTGCATGCCCAAGAATTCTTTTAAAATAAAGCAGAAAATACCGATATTAACCAACCGGAATTTGATAAAATCGACGCGAATGATCTCTGGGACGACCCGAAACGTTAATTTCGAAAAATCAACGCCTCCAAATTATTTTCTCTTGGAGTGTGTTAAAAATGATATTATTTTTTTATTATTTTATATCATTGATAATCTAATGATCATCTAAGCTGGATGAGTTTTTAATTCAGCGATTCTGTTTATCTTTCCTTGTTTTCGCTGTCTCTATAACTGAAGACAACACCAACAACGAAAATGAGACATATCAAACGTTGTACCTCTTGAGTAATTTTCATACCTACCTAGCAAAAATATACATATTGCAAATACGTCTTTACGAAACATATGTATGTATGTATGGGGCGGTGTACGCACAAAAATCGTCAAGGTATACAAATTGTATTGAAATGCTTGGCAATAATTAGTGTAGTTCTAAATTCTCTGAAATTATTTGCTAATATAAGAGAGAAATTATTTTAATTTTAAAAAATTCTTTTGTTACCATATTCTGTAAGAAAAAAATCATAGTCAATACTTAATGTAAATTATTATTTGAAAGATTCTTTTTATTCCCTGTACTTGTGATCTTGCATACAAATAGCTATTGCATTCGCTAATACAAGAGACAAGTTATTTAAAATATTCTTAGTTTTTACCATAATCTGTAAAGAAAATTAAAAAAAAAAAAACGTAGTCATTACTTTATTTAAATAAATATATGACAGAATTTTTTTTGGTAAATCCCTTTACTTTTGATCTTGCATACAAATAAATCATCTGGTCTACCCTAATGCTCTTACCAACATTGGTACAAACATGTCTTAACTAAAGTTACTCAGCACTCCACTATTCGGTGCTCTTTTACCCGTCTGCACTCTTTTACGTTCGTTTTTCATCGCTAACTATATCGGTGATTCAACCCAAGCAATCGATCAACCCAACAAACGAACGCAGTACTCTCTTCTCAAACTTTACATTTCATTCAAATATAATTTACCATATTTCAAAACAGCGACTTTGCATTCTACTTGTTCTGCCATTTGTCGCTTTAAATATCGTTGTTGTCATCGACATTTGTTTAAATTTGAGCTCTAGCGCTAATCCCCATCCACATATGTAGCTCTTCTTCGTACTGGAAGTTCGCACTCTCTAGAGCCAATCAAGCAAGTCTTCAGTCAGTTGCTAGTCGTTGGTGTAGTGAGTACGTACTAACCGCATGTCTTCGTACTAAATCGTTAAAAAATCAACCAAAATTTACTTATCACATTCCAAGAAGCAAAAAATTAATAAACAAATGGAAAAAAGTGAACAAAAAGAACGTTAATACTGTTTGTTGTTTTTGTAAAATGTTTAAAATATTATATAAGTCTGTGCTATTCAATTGTGTTGACAACTAATTCCGCCAGTTCGGCGCGCAACCTGCAAAGGCATACTAAAAATACAAATACAAAAACTTAAATAATAAAAAAAATTGAGCTCAAGGGCTAACCAGTTTCAATGTGCTAATAAAAACTCATTTACAAAATTTTAAATGTGATAGTAAAACAAAAATTAAACCAAATTGTCACAATATGTCAGATGCTCTAAACAATAACGTCCTGTCCCGTGTTGGTGATGATGTTTGTATGAGCACAGATTCCACAGATTCATCTAATAAGGAAAAACATCAAACAAACAACGATTGTGGTTTAAATAAAAAGTACACAACAAGCATTAGTACGAATAGTAATGATGAAATCATCGAGGAGGGATTCGACTATAGCGAAGCTGACCTGTTAGACGAGTTAAATGCTAGCGACGACGACCAAGACGTCGACGTAAACGGCGGCGTTAACGACAATCTCGAAAGAAATGCGAACATTCAAAAATATAACACTCATGATCTTCCCATCACACAAGGTGCGGACAAGAAGGGTGAAGCATGCGAAAAAATTACCGGTGCTTTTTCTCTTAGTAACCATGTAACTGACACGAATTCTCATGACAATAAAACAAGATCAACGAACATTGTTGCGAACGACGTCGGCAGTGATTATGTGCCAATTGTGAGCACTGATAATGCGCCAAACAGTGCAAGTGATAAGCAAAAAGTTACACCGACTAACTTAGCATTGTGTAGCGACACCGACCAACCAAACGCAAGTGAAGTTGGCGTTGACTCATATTGTCCGATAACACCGCGATGTATAGTTGATGTTGAAGCTGAGCCTAATCCATTGTTAAAAAGTAGTTCCACAACACGCATTAAAAGCAACAATAAAAATGTTGTTGATGATGGCGGGGTTGCTAGCAACAATGATCATGGTGATGAAGGTTATTATTATTCCGATGAGCCCGAAGATGAATTAATTGTACAGTTCCTGGGAGAAGCCAATCGTATTGTAAGCAAATATTTGCATTGATTAGTGCACACATTCATGTGTTTACTCATTTAGGGTAAGATGTTCTGTTGTGCGCATCCAAATTGAATTATTATTCTTTTTAATAGTGGAGATCAAGTATAAACACGCAAAAAAAGCTTTGGATGTACGTATAGACGACAGCTGGTTTTACAGGCTATAATCTGTTCTTCAATTATGCCATTTGTAGATATCTTATTTCATGGAGTAGTATAGTGTGGCATAGCATACTCAAGATTATCATCCTAAGTGATAAAAATCCATCGTATTTTTAAAGAAATAATCATTGAAATTTAGTTTCGTAGTTTTTCTTCTCTATAGAATGTATGTAGAAATGTAATACTCGTAATAGCGTACTCGTAAAGATGTAATTAAACATATAACAGCATTACTTCATCGCTCCATGAGCGATTTAATTAGCGCACATTTACAGTATCGGACAAAATATTTGCAACTGAAATATCATAATGAAAATAATGTCAATTACACAGAAAATAATTCTCGGAGACCTATTATTTTAATTTTATTTTGAATATTAGATGTTAATAAAGGTAAAATAAAACAAATTTAATAATATTTTTCAGTTTATTTGTTTAATGTATATAGGAAAACGATATAACATCTATATTCAATAAGGCAAAACATTTGCAACACAAAGAAAACGGTTCACTATTTTTATTAAAATAAAAKAAAAACTTAGTATTTTGTAGCAAACTCATTGCTCTCAATAACTGCTTTGCATCGCAGCGGCATTGAAGCTATAAGGTTATTTACTATGGTACTTTATAGAAATTTATTTTTGAGAAGTTCCGTTATTATAATCATCAATAACACGTGCTCGGAATGCTTCACTGAATTTATTTAGAGCCATTACTTTTTTTTTTTTTTTTGAAAAACTTTAAAATAAAAACATGTTTTCTCAAAAATTCAGAGCAGAAATTATGCTCCGTAAATGTTCTAATTAGTTCAAACTCAATACCGTTAGAAAAAGAAACGAATAAAAGAAAACAGAAACAAACAAAACATAGTAGCAGTTGTTTGGTCGCGACGGATTGGCGTACATTTGAAATTGTTTTCAAATATAACCGGCAAAATAAAAATAGATCGTGTTAAATATTGCAAAATATGTTACTTCAATACTGTAAATTTAAAAACAAGAAAAAAAAAAGGAATTCGAAGGAAAAATGGCATTGCAAGACAAAAAGTCTAGAACTTCGCTCTAGTTGCAAATGTTTTGTCCGATACTGTACATACGTATTTACCTAGATTCAAGTAAATGCTGATTAGGTTTATTTATTTTTTACAAATTACATAGTAATAAACCAACGTTGAAGGTTTCCTCAACTTTTTTACAGTACCTTGAATATAAATATGTATTTTTAAATACAAAGATGCAATATGAGCAGACATATTTATACTTATCTATAATTAAATTGAGTTGAAAGTGATTATAGTAAAATTTTAAAAGTAATATTTTGCCGGAACTTTCTCATACTCTAAATTCAAATGCGTCATTTTGAGCTCTAATCGAAAAAATCTTTCTGAAAGTCTTCAAAGACGATTTCCCGCAAATCAAATGCTAAACAAAAGCAAATAAATATAATACAGCTAAAATACTCTTTACAAATACAAAAGATTCGTTACAAAAACTGGATCGCTCAGTTTGTATGGCTGCTATATGCTATAGTGACTCGATTTTAACATTTTATTCAAAAAATGTAACGTTGTCTTGGCCAGCAATCTACGTGAAATTTTGCTAACATATCTCTTCAAATCTTTTCATTGATGTCGTTTTTTACGTGGCGGGTCCCGACCCAGCGCACAACCCTGTGTAGGGGATATTTCGCCTTCTCACTTTAACTCGCCTTCGAACGGATGTTCTTAAACTATCCAGAGGATACTTGATCTAAATCCGGAAGTCGTGAGCTGCTTGAGCCATATGTAAAAGAATCGTTTCTAGCCACTACAATTGAATGTTGATCAGAGAACTTTCCTCACTTGCGTGAACTTCTACACATGACTCCATCCACGAGGAGAAGGACCTGGCTTCGCTTGGAATATCCAATTGGCGAAACGTAGCGAAAAGAAGAAACGACTCGCGCGCTGTTGTTAACTCGGCTATAATCGCCTAAGCGGTGTATACGCCAATGAAGAAGAAGATCTCTTCAAATAAAACAGTTTCCATACAAGTACTTGATCTCGATCAGTTTGTATGGCAGCTATATGCTATAGTATTCCGATCTGAACAGTGTGTTAGGAGATTAATTCCGGATAATAATGTATGCCAAATTTCGTGAAAATATATTGTCAAATAAAAACGTTTTCCACAAGAATTTGATTCCGATCGATCGAAATTGCAGATCAATATCTCAAACACTGAGGAACTGACAGACGGATGGACATGGCTAAATTGGCTCAGGTGGTATGCTGATCATTTACATACACATATGTATATTTCATAGAATTTCCTACCATTCCCTCCGTGTGTTACAAACTTCATGGCAAACGTAATATATCCTGTTCAGGGTATAATTGGCAACATACTGATGTTTATATTTTTTAAATTTTAGTAACAATTAGTTATCTAAGACACAGCATTAGTTGAGAAATAAGTTACTCTCCACTTACATTCTATTCTATGAACTTTGAACAGAACCTTTAACATTCAAAATTAAAATTGTTATACGCATTTAAAGTGGGTTGTAGAACAATACTACAATAATTTTTTAAACAGGCTTAGAAGTAGCCCTCGGTCGGATAAAATCTTGGTCAATTCCGGTAGAACCATCTGTTGTGGGAATTGTGCAATGTTATTATTTGGTATCAAAACAGAAATGAAACGCTTTCTGGTTTCGGTTTTCAAAATAAGATTCAGTAATAATAATTTTAAAATTAAATTTATTTTGCTGAAAAATATTATTTTCATATTTCGTTCGCTTTCATATTAAAATTAGGACTAAGGTTTTATATTTTCTATCACAATTATTGTCAAATAAACATGTAGACCTGGTATGTTAAATTTGTACATTATTTTTCAAGAATATTTAATGGTTATTAATATAAATTAACGCCGAAATTATAAGCAAATGTGAAAATTTTATTTGTGTCAGAAACGCCTTTGAATTTTACATTACATCTTTTCTGAAGCCACACTATATTGAGTTAAACTGCCATTGGTGTGCAGAGTTCTTATTTTTTGTCTAACTCTCGATTTGTGTGGGTATTTATGTGTTAATTTCAATTATGAAAATAGTGTTGTAAACCTATAAATGGGAAGTATTTAAAATTGCACATTTTACTACAAAATGTGCTAAAGTTAGTAAAGTAGTAAGAGTAATTATCACCTTGTATACTCATTCAACCTCAAACTTACTTATGTATACATATGTATATGTACTATGTGTCTATAGAGGACGTACGAAGTCATGCTATTGTTAAAGCGGTTACTCTTTGCAGCGCTTAACAGTAAAAAAAGTTAATATCGATAATGTAGAACTGGCTGCCGTGATAGTTACCTCTGACGCTATAAAATTGGTCAAAAACGTCAGTTTCCACAACAGTTGATTAGGAAAATTATTTAGGAAATGTTTTCTATGAGATTAGCTATCGACATAACGTCCTTTTAAGACATTACATTTTCCTGTGAGCAAACAAGTCATCAGCAAATGAAATACTACAATCGTTTGTGATTCATTAGATCCCTATATGCTGATTTTATAAATTATATTATGCAATGCATTTAAATTAACTTATTAATGAGCAAGGTTTTGTATGTGTATGTATACATATAGTACATATGTATATATAAACATATGTAAATGTACAAATATATACATATGTATATATGTATACATCCCAATTAATATACTATATATATTGTTCATGATTGCTGCTTGATTATGGCTTTTTTATGAATGTTAACAAACCAATCTTTAAGCAATGATATTCAAAACTTCGTCGTATGTTTTTAGGCAGATTATTAAGCTTAGTGATGACGTAATCTTCAAGTGACTGCGTTTGTTTAACGTATAACCATCGTTAAATTGTGCAAACATATTTACATCCATATGTGCATGTGTATATACACACTTCAGTAGCCATCCGTGCTTTAATTGAAAAAGGTGTCAACAAATAGTTTTCGAAAGTATTACTGCAGTTAGTATAATTCTTGATAAAATTGCTGTTTAAAACTTCAAACAAAAAACTGTGTGTATACCTATATATGTATGTTTATATACATATACAACAATGCTTGGAAATAACTTGCATTCTTTTTATATTTGTTGAAAATAATCTAGCATTTATTTAACGCTTGCGATAAGGTGCCAATTTCTTAATGACTCAGAGTTATTGCAATTTTTTGCGAAAGTCTTAAGCATTTATCGATTTATAAAACAAAAAAATAGAAATTAGCTACATCTATAGCTTAATAGACTATATATATGTATATGTAATTGAAGGAGCTGAGTCAATTACCCATGTTCGTCTGTCTGTCGGTCTAAAATTTCGTCCTTTTATCGTCAAGTTACTGCTCATTTATCGGAACCAGTAGAACAGCCTTGTAGATCAAGAATTTATTATAAAATGTTAAGAATATTCATAGACACTTCTTCATTATTATTATTATTATTTATATGAACTGGTGATTCGATCACTCTAGCATATGTATAGCTGCAAGGCAAACTGAACAATCAAATTCATGTCCTTGTATGAAAAATATTTTTATTTTCCAAAATGTCTTCACGGAATTTGACATGGCTTATTGTCCAAGACTATTATACAATCTCCGTACAAATTGTTCAGATCGGACCAGCATATGTATGTATGTACATACATATCATTAAAGCYAGTTTTTTAGTTTTATCAAATAAGCGCGTGGAAATAATTTCCTAGGTTAGCGTATGTTTTGTCTTCCACAATTTTAACTTTTGCTTAATTTTTTGTTGTTACTCCTTACAATCGCGCTCTAACTAAATTTGATTGGACAAAGAAATAACTTTGGTTATCTGTACAAATTTCATTACTCATTCGCAGTCGTGGAAAAACGAAATTTTTTTAACCGTAACTGTTAAATTAAATTAAAATATTTACTCTGGAAAGGAAAAAAAATATTTTTAATCTAGACACATAACACCAGATACACCACAAAAACGGCGGAGGTAGCGTGATGGAGGAAGTAATAACACAAAACAAAACATTTCTCATAATTTTTCGTGTGTGGCCTACTGTAGTATTTCTATCTCTAGCCCAAAATATGCAATTGGAGACTCAACCATTTTTTTAAAGAACTATTGAAATATTATTTTTAATTTTTCCGCATAATTTATTTACTCCTCAGTTTATTCTATGTTTTTTGTTTCCTTTGTATTACATGCTCAAAAGGTGCATATTCTCATATTTTCTGTTCATGCGTGTTAATCGAAGTTAACATTTTAACTTTCTTATTATACCCATGATCGTCGGACCTAAATAGCGGATTACGATTCGATGCATTCAATTCTTCAGATTGTCGCAGAGCCCAGAAAATACCCATCAAGTCACTTCTTATTAACAGCAGCATTATTCATAAAAAATAGTGTTTTTAACATACGAAATTAATCCAGCTTTCCAAAATACCAAAACGTCAATCAAAATGTTTCACTCTGCTGGTAAATTAATAAACGCGTAACTTTTTACTCGCTTTTCATACGCTGTATTTCTTCTAGAAATTCGCCCAATATCTTCAGTTTATGTGGGAAACTCCTATATTATATTTTTCTTTCTTTATATGTATACTTATATATGTAGTATGTTTTGTTTTTAAAATTTTAAAAAAGTTCTCGAAACATATTTTTCCATAGAATATTGAAGGTTGTTGACTGAAGTAGCATTTTAATTATATCTAATCTTTTATATGTCATTGTTTACTTTTCAAAGTGTAAGAAGTGTTATTTCCGTCAATTGGTATTCAATTGTTTTGTTGCCGTATTTGTGTATACTTTAAAGAAGAATGAAAGAAAAGTTTCTATATGCTTCTATCATTTTTGATTCTACATAAGATATATCGGAAAGTAATCGAAAAATAATGAAATGTCACTGGATCTCAATTATTTATCTGTACTCATACACTTTGTATTCAAAGATATGTTCTTTTTTTAATGAGAATTTTAAAAAGTTATGTAGACTAAGTGAACTCCATACTGCACAGCAGTCTGCAGACACAAGATCAAGACCCATAGATCTATATATGTACCAGAATGGGAATCATAATAGCACCCAACAGAATTCTAGAATTTTTCAGAGTGATGGGCCTATGCGAGTCTATGTAACAGAAAGAAGTGGAAAACTTTAGTATATCGTCTCAGAATTTCAAGAATAAAATGGGTATGGTCGGATAAAGCAGGTTCTCCAGATTAAGAATATATATAATTATGGTATAGCCGCCCTAAACTTATAGTTTTCGAGATATTTGCGTTTAAAGTTGAAAATTACCGCCACTAAATAAACTAAAAGAAATAAAAAAAAATATATTATACACAAAAAATGATTTTTGCAGTTGTCTATCGCAAAAAATCTTTTTATTACCCGCCATTGGGATGTGTCAAGTTTTTTTTCACGTAAAACGGCTTTTTCGCTGGCGGCCTTCAGCTACTCTTCAAAAAAAACCTTCGTCAGTCTAAAACCGGGGTCTTCAGAAGCACTTGAAGCAAATAACTCTGGTCGGTCCAACACTGGGGTGTGTCAAGATTTTTGTCGCGTAAAACTAATTTTTGCGTTGGCCTGGTCGGTCCAACAGCGGGGTTTGTCGAGTTTCTTTCTATTTTATTTTTGTAAGTTTTTAAAATATATTAGTAAGGTAACACTGATTACTTGTCAGTCTGTAACTCTTTTGTTACTGTTAAATAAATACAATCGAACAATAAATTAAATATTAATAATAAATATTAAAACTACTGTGTGTACAAACGAAATATTAAAAGTGTTAGTGGATATTAAAATTAAAAATATTGTAAGTATAATATTAATTTGAATTAGAAAAATATGTACTTGAACTACTGGAAATTTTCAACTTTAGACGCAAATATCTCGGAACTATATATATATACTTCATCTGAAGATGCTCCTCTATCTGACCATACTCATTGTATTCCCGAAATCCTGGGACGGTATTCTAAATCTGACCGGAGAGAAGTGTAGAATAAACCTTAGGCCGCTGTGAAAGCCTTGATTTATTTCTAACCACGTAGGTTCGCCTGTGTTGGGGTGAAAAACTTATTCTATACACATATCTACCATTTTTTGATCAACAATCATATAAATTCATTTAATATTATTAAGATAAAATGTTTGTTGTACATACATTTACTTATATTCTATTAATTACAGGCCGAGGCCCGTTTGGCTGCTCGACGACAAGCGCGCGCTGAGGCACGTGAAATACGGATGCGTGAGTTGGAACGCCAACAGAAGGAGCAAGAGCAAAATGCAGACCGTGTTTTTGACATGCATAGCTCGAGCGGCATCGACCCATTATCGCGGTCACGGCTTGCCACTGGCGTTGGCAGTTCACCGCTCGGTGCAGTGCTTAACAGCACACGAGCTAACTCGATGTCATCACGACGCAGCAGTGAAGACTCACTAGAGGAAGAAGGCCGCAGTCTGCGTGATATACGACATGAACTCAAGGTGAGTGTAGGAAACTAAACCGGAAAGTTGCTAAATTTACGATTTTTTTTTCTATTAAAATGCAGGATGTTGAGGAAAGGTTTCGAAAGGCCATGATAGCCAATGCCCAGTTGGATAATGAACGCGCTTCGCAAACGTATCAAATACAACTATTGAAGGATAAACTAGAAGAAATGGAAGAATCTTATGCGCAGCTTCAGCGTGAATTTAAAGATAAGTCACGTGAATGTAATGCGCTGAAAAGAAATCTGGATAAATTAAGTGAAGAACTTAAATTGGTGCAAGGTCAACTAACTGAACGCGACAAACTAATCGCGGATCAGGGGTTAGTTATTGTAGCCGTAGAGAATGAGGACGGTACCGACGCAAAACGTGCTCTAGTCAGTGTTGAAAATGCTCAGCTGTTAGGTTCAGTGCAAGGCTCATTAGGTTTGTATTATTATTTGGTGTACATAAATACATTGCAAGAATTTGTATATACAAATATTTATGCTGCCAGATGTGCGACTGAAAAAGTTTAGCGAGGAGAAACAACAACTTTTTGCAGAAGTGCAAAAACTGCAGGAGACATTAGAAAATTACAAGAGCCAAGGCAAGGGTCGATCCAATTCACTTAACGGACCAACAGGTTCTGACGAAGATTATGAAGCTCAGAGTAAGAGACGGCTTATTTGCTAAAATTATTTCAGTTGCTAAAGTTTATTTTGTACTTCATACTTAGGGGAGGCGAATAAAATAATATCAGACTACAAGTATAAACTGCAAAAGGCTGAACAGGAAATCGCCAGCTTACAAGCGAGCTTGGCACGTTCGGAAACGCAAGTTATACGGTATAAAAGTACAGCGGAAGCGGCTGAAAAAGCTGAAGCTGAACTTAAAATAGAACGGAGAAAACTGCAAAGAGAAGTAAGAACTCAATTACAATACTATATATACTTAAATAGATTTATTTCAAAATATTTATTAAAATATATATTTTTCCAATCTAATTTAGGAATTATTAGTTATACATTTTTGGGATGAATGTCATTGCCAATAGATAAGAGTAAATCGTTTTTATAGTTATCAAAGCAAAAACCTAAATGCTTCAATGCAAACATACATAAATAATTCATTAAGAACCATGTTACTTACGGTATAGTTATATATTTCTAAATATATACATGTGGTTTGTTCCCCGAATTGCCTAATTAATAAAAGTTCTAACTGTATCGTTAAGTGCATGAAGAAAAATATGCGCTTAGAAGGTTATCATAAAAGAAATCCTAAATAAAGGTGGAATTTAGTAGAAATATTTCAGGAAAAGAAAAAATAAAATAAAAAAAATAGTTGTTTTATAATGTAATAAAAAGGGCACGTATTGATTCATCATTTGCAAGTTACACATAGAAGAAGAAATGCAATTCGTTAGAAAGAGAGCGAGCTAAAGAAATACAATAAATGCATATAAAAAATTTAATTTATTTAATGTGTGATTCTTTTTGAAGGTATATTTTTATGAATACAGTTTGCACATAGCCACAGGTGTGTCGAACACACATTCAGTCAGAGAGAGCTTAAAACCCATTCTTAGAGTGGAATTAAAGATGCAATTTATTGAAATGTAATTGGACGTATATCATTGAAAGAACCCGAAAAAGTGATTTTATCAAATAAATTTCAATGATTATACCAGCTTTAATAAAGCTAATTCGAAAATCATCTGAAAGCTGCTTCATTTGTAAAACTCGAAGGGCTACAATAAAAAATCACTTATCGTTCACTTAAAGTTTTGTAATACTACCTTTAACAATTTTTTTCTATATTGGCGATGTATAATTTTTATACTCTTGCAATAAAATTAAGCTAATTTGACGAAACTTGGTGCAAATGTTGATTGGCAAAACAAAGACGTACGTTATCGTAATCAAACCACCGCCACGCCCACAAAACGCCATTAAACGAAAACCTACAAATTGTAATTTGACACAAAGGATCGCAGTAGCTTGGGCACAATTGAAATTGGATAATAACCCCGCCCATACCCCATATAACGGTATTGTTAAAACTACTAAAACGGCGAAAAATCAATAAATAAATAAGCCAATAGCATTAACTTTTACCCCTAAGAGGATATATAAGGGCTTTAAAGGAGCCGGGGTGAAAATTTGACAATAAGTGTTGCACCGCTCTACCGATTTCAACTAAATTAACATTCTTCTAATATTCCTACGTTACAGTGTGAAATTGAAATCAGCCCACAACCACGCCTACTTCCAATATAATACAATCTTTTCTTTTATTTGATTATTTCACTATCTAGTATACAAATCAAGAAGCAATTAATATAACAAGGTGAAACTTTGACAAAAAATGCCTTGAAGTATGCAGCTTTTGACTTTAGGAACCTATTCGGCTATTTGATTGGGTAGACTAAATGCTTTTGGTTGACTTTTCACCGAAAAGATCGGTCAATGTGTATTTCTTGATAGTAGTGTGTCTATGTGTTACAAATGGGTGAAGTCGGATCAATAATTCCCTGAGCGCCCATATACCTAATATAAAGATTTTCAAACTTCCGGGTGATTTTATACACCATTATCGGCAAAGATGTGAGTTATTGTAATAAAAGTTGTGAGGGCGTGTATTTCTAATAACCGTGCATATTTGTCTTTGGAATGAACAGAAAATTTGCATGTGATCAAAAATATAAAAATAAATTATTACAGTTTTATTACATAAAGTAAAAATTCTAAATTTAATTTTTCTTATGATTATATAGTTTAGGTTTTTTTATAAGTTCATACAGTTTATTCTGAGATAGGCGAGTAACTTTTTAACTACATGAGGATCATCGAAAAATTGCACATGAATTCATTCGTCGTTTCCCCTTTTTCACTAATCAACATATGTATAAAATATATTATAATACTTTATGTGCCTTGACATTTTTTATATTTATTATATCGAATAATTTTGCAAGTATTTAAATTATTATTATTTTTTTGTTTGTATTTTGTTTTTTCCGTTAAGTTGGTTTTTTGTTACAATGCATTTTCTCAAATTATTTATGTATTCGATTAACCTCAAAATGTTGGATCTTTTATAAACTTATTTCATATAATACAAAGTTATTGCCAATAGATAAATTACATATTTTTTTATAGAATCGTGAAGCCATGGAACGTATGGAGGAATTGGAAACTTCAAATAATCACCTGCTGAAGCGACTAGACAAACTAAAGAATGCTAAAAGCGCTTTGCTTAAAGATCTCTGACCGAAATCCATACATGCAACAACTATCAGAAACACTTTCAGCATGGATAAATGCCAACATAATGGCGAAACTTTAGTTAGATGCGAAATCTGTAAACAATAAATCAGAATACAAGCATTCACTTAGTGACGTCAATATACAAACATCGGAGCAAAATTTAAGATGAGCCAAGAATTGTGTGCTACATTGAAAAAGAGTAAATAAGAGTGTTTATGACATGCGATATTAGCTAAATCGTTGTCACTTAGCATTGCAACATGGATAGTCAGAAAACAAAATTACATACATATGACGCCTAAAAGTAACAGCATAATCAATTTAATATTTATTAACATACATAAATAAAAGTTAAGTGCACAACGCATACAACATTTATCCATAGTATGTAAGTATGTATATTTACATACATATATTAGGATCATACTGTCAGTAGTTAATAACAACAGAAAATGTCAAAAGTTTTTAAGTTTGCTTAAATATAATACTAATTAATATTGAAAATTTTTATTGAACTTTAAACCAAAATATATAAAACAACAACAATATATTCCATTATGACAACAACAAAAACATGACAACTGAACTAATACAAATGAATTGCCTGCGCATGGATATTCTAAATCGATGGACTTATGCATAAATACACATAAATACGTAACAAACATACGATGAATATATGTACAGAGAAGAAACATAAAAATCTTGAAACATCTGCTGAAAATAAATTCATATGCGGATAAATCATGAAATTATATCAATAACTTACGTTGCCTAAAATTGCATAACCACCCGGAACAGAGAAACATTTAACTAATGCAATAATCGGTTTAACCAGAAAGACGTATAAAAGCATACTTTTGTTCAAATGCAATGTTAACGTGTCGAAGAGACTTAGCTTGTCGAAGAGAGAAGCTTATTTAATTTTTTAATCTGTTTTAGAATTTATTTTTTAAATTGTTTTAACATTATGAATAATCGCATCTGTCGATCTTCTTCGACCACTATAGTAATTTTAAAATACAATGTGGTTTGAATTCAACTCGAACAAGCAGATAAAAATGGATGCTATGGATTTTTTGTTAAAAGGAACTAAAGTGAGATATTTGCTTCTGTGATTAAGAAATTACCACTCAAATTAAATGTTTCTATTATTTATAACTCAATTAAAATCAGTTAAATATTTTTTTTAGAAATTCTTCGCAAATTAAAAATAATAATAATAATAATAATATGCAAGTTGTCATTATTGTTTTCTACCAAAAATTCGATTAGCAGTATTCAAATATTATATACATATTCACATGTTTAAAACAAATTTTGCCATTATTTGCATACAAATAAAGTAATTTCAATTGTTTTTCTCATCAACAACTTTAACGCCATGATAATTAAATTTATATACCATTTATTTACTAACATTTTTTGGTTATGTACGATTCTCAATTGCAAAAATCAGTTGCGTCTTCAATTATATATTTATTTTTATCAGTAAAAGATGCCTGTTGGCAACAAAAAGTAATTATAAAAAAACCACTACAACACTTTAAGACTAAAAATATTAAAATTAAAGTACTTAAATTTTTTATATTACGAAAGTGAAAGAATGTTTAGGAAAAGTCGTTTCGAAATTGAAAAATGTTGAAAAACATCTTGCCAAGCGTATATTTAACGAGATACGGCATCAAACACAGAAAAGCCCGCATACTTTAATTACTTTTATTGCAAATACACTAGCATTGTTAATATATTGATATTGATTATGCTTCGTCCACATTTAGAGAGATGTGCATAAAGGCATCAAGAGATTAATTAATATGGTTCTACGTAATTTAATCGGAAATTTGTAAAAAAAAAAGTAAAGAAATATTATTTAATTAAAAATAAACTAATTTTAATACACATCTTCAAACTAAATTTATAATTTATTTTCAAATATTTGTGTGTGGTAAGTTTGTAGTACATTATTCAAAAAACCCTAATAAAAATATATTATATTTTTGCAATCTTTCTTAATTTGCGACACATATTTTAATTTCATATTGCTTTAAAGGGAGGAATAAAAATCGATTTACAAATGAATAGGACATTGAATCGAACAGCCATAGTAGAGCAACCAGAGGGAATTCAGTAAAATGTGGTGCGTACCATCATTCTATAATTAAAGCGGATTGCAAAGTTGATGTCATATAATCTGAACACCATTATTAGTTAAGGAGTGCTAAAACGGTTTAACAGCGTATACATGTCTGAGAGGTATAAGCATCTCAATAAACCCCAGTCACTACAGGTTTAAGAGACCCATAGTATGAGAATAGTTTTATGTGCAATAGGACTATTCTGCGAATGCTACCTGAAACACCGCAGTATTTGCTTATAGATTGCGTAACAAACTGTAGTCCTAGGAACCAGCCCCTGGAATCCATATATCCACAGCGCCTAGCATGATCCTCGAAGGAGCATAATGAACTCCTCTCCAAGCAGTTCCTGCTAAGATGTTTTCGCAGAAATCACCCTTGCAGTCATCTGCTTGGAGCGGAACCGCCTCCTAGGAACATCAGGAGGTCATTCCTTGATCACGTCGACGACATCGAACAATACGTCGACAGGACCTCGGACGCTACAGACTTCCGACAGGCACTGACCGCCATTCACAGTGGAGCCATCAACACCYTCACCGACTCCCTCCCCGTGAATGGCGTACTTGGAGTCAAATCACCATCCATAGCAGACGAAGAGCTCAAGTTGCCGCGAGAAACGCGAGTGACCCTTGCGCAACTTCGTTCTGAATATTGTAGCAGGTTAAACTCCTACCTATCCAGAATAGCCCCAGACATACCCAACGTATGTCCTGCATACAACGAGTCTCCGCATGACACTGACCATCTCTTTGCATGCCCAACCAACCCCACCCATCTAACACCCTTTTCCCTCTGGTCCGACCCCGTCGAAACAGCACGTTTCCTGGGCCTCCCGTTAGATGACATCGACGACAACACAGATGGCTATCACCATCCCAACGGGGACTGATAACCGTTAAAACAACAACAACAACATCCTCGAATTTATAAGCATGCTGTACTTATGTGAATCCCTGTGAAATAGGGGAGGGTTAAATTTACCATGGTGCAAAGCTCATTAAATTTATACTTATATCTGATCATCTATCAGCCAAGATTAATTCCCCAAAATAATTTTTTTCACTTGGTAGTAAGCAAGCAGAAAGTCACCATTATCGAACTCCGGTGGCTCCCTCTCTGCACATATACCGACGAGTGAGGTATGGGAGGGAAGCTAGCTTCTTTACGGATGGGTCAAAGCTTGGGGGGAAGGTTGGTGGAGGGGTCTACTGTCGAGAGCTCTCCATCAAATCTAGCTTCAGACTTCCCGACTGTTGCAGTGTCTTCCATTCTGAGGTTGCAGCCATCAAGGTAGCAGCAGCTGCTCAAGATAGTTTCTACCTTCAGGGAAGTAACCATTCACTCAGATAGCAGAGCGGCGATACTAGCCTTGAACTCATTCACAGTGCGTTCAGGGTTGGTCGAAGAGTGTCTGGCGTCACTGTCTCTGGCGGCAAGAGCTTTTATTATAAGACTTGTATGGGTACCGGGCCACAGCGGAATCGCAGGTAGCTGCAAAGCTGATGAGCTAGCAAGGAAAGGCTATCGGCAGAATGGGAACGGGTGGGTGCTCCTGCGTCCTCTTGTGTCCTACTACTCGATAGCTGGGCCTCGCGGCTGCTTGGTCAGCGTTGGTACCTGCGCGGTCGCGAAAGTCTTTTGACCCAAAATAGATCGCCGGAGATCTAGTGATCTCCTTGTCGTCAGTAAGGCTCGCCTCTCATTAGTGATGGGGCTCTTGACGGGCCACTGCCCTATTGGCATACAAGCTGTAAGACTGGGAATATTACCGGACGCTGCTTGGAAGAAGATGCGGTAGAAACTAGCCAGCACTTCCTTCTTGACTGCCCTGCTTTTGGGAGATCAAGATTTAGATACCTGGGGGGCACATACCTTCAGACATCCCACCGATCTGGCGTGCATAGAAATTAAGCGCCTCTGCAAATCTGTACTGGCTACTAATTACAAAGGACTACATTAGTCCACGTGGATTTTTGATCAGCCATCCAACCTAACCTAAGCAAGCAAATCTATATCTAGGAAACTATATAACTTTATAAATAGTTAAACATCAAGCAGAGATAAAGGTATTGTCGAAATTTATTTAAACTGAAATCTTTGAAGTTCTTTTTTTATCTTCATAAGAAAAGTTAAAGAAATTTTAGTCTTCACTACATTTCGTATTCATGTTATGTTTACAACAAATAAGAAATACGAAATGCCTGTATTTATTTTTTCGCAATGACTGCTGAGCTATTTAATTATTGAATGCAAAATAGAATATGTTTACAAATTAACGAGTAGCTGTTTTATTAATTTCGTATAGGTTCGGTTTTTGGTACAATCAAAACTTTGGTTCGTATTTATAATGTATAAATATAGTTCGTAACCCATCTTAAAGTAACAAATAAATTATTTCATTAAAAAGCGAGCTTAGTTCATATTCTCAACGAAAATAATATTAACATTCGTAAAGTAATAAACATTTGTATAGTGATTAAATGCTGTTTGATTTAGAACTTGCCTATGCATATTGGTTTTTGCTGTGTTGGCAACACTTCAAAAGCTTTCACAGAAATAATAGTACTAGCCGTTCTACTCCAACAAACGAAAAGTTTAAATTGTTGGAAAAATAATAGCGCAGCAATTTGCAAAACTTGGTGGATGAATTCGAATGCCCTTCAAGTGACATTGAGGATAGCCGGTATGCTTTTTCTCTAGCATTGCTTTACTACGGGTGAATTACAGTTCTCAGTTGTTTCTCTGCTGGTGAATTGAACGGTAGTTCTTTTCATAACTTAAATAATTGAAGTCAATAAGCCAAGTGTAAAAAAGTGAAGATGTCCAAAATCGGTATTAACGGATTCGGTCGCATCGGTCGTCTGGTACTACGTGCCGCTGTCGAGAAAGGTGCCCAAGTTGTTGCGGTCAACGATCCCTTCATCGATGTAAACTACATGGTTTACTTGTTCAAATTCGATTCGACCCATGGTCGTTTCAAGGGCACCGTTGCTGCTGATAACGGAGCACTTGTCGTCAACGGGCAAAAAATCATTGTCTTCAGCGAACGCGACCCAGCCAACATTAACTGGGCTAGCGCTGGTGCTGAATACGTTGTAGAATCGACTGGTGTCTTCACAACAATCGATAAGGCTTCTGCTCACTTCAAGGGTGGTGCCAAGAAGGTAATTATTTCGGCACCATCTGCCGATGCACCAATGTTTGTTTGCGGTGTCAACTTGGACGCCTACAAGCCTGACATGAAGGTCGTATCTAATGCATCTTGCACCACCAATTGTTTGGCACCTTTGGCTAAAGTCATCAACGACAACTTCGGTATTGTTGAAGGTTTGATGACCACTGTACATGCAACCACTGCCACCCAGAAGACCGTTGACGGTCCCTCAGGCAAACTGTGGCGTGATGGACGTGGTGCCGCCCAGAACATCATTCCCGCTTCAACTGGTGCCGCTAAAGCTGTAGGCAAAGTTATCCCTGAATTGAACGGCAAACTGACTGGTATGGCATTCCGTGTCCCAACACCAAATGTCTCAGTTGTCGACTTGACTGTACGTCTTAACAAGCCAGCTACATATGACCAAATCAAGCAAAAGGTTAAGGAAGCTTCAGAGGGTCCAATGAAGGGTATCTTAGACTACACCGATGAAGAGGTAGTATCTACCGATTTCGTCAGTGACACACACTCGTCTGTCTTCGACGCTAAGGCTGGTATTCCCCTGAACGATCAATTCGTTAAGTTGATCTCATGGTACGATAACGAATTCGGCTACTCCAACCGCGTCATCGATCTGATCAAATACATGCAGAGCAAGGATTAAAGTGGATATGAGAACAATTTATTAAAACAGAAGTATTGCAGCTCGTATGGGTTTAATAAACATATACACACAACAGATCAGCAGCATTTAATCCCAATAAACGAATTAAAGTCGACTTTACTTCTGTAACAATTGAAAATAAAGTAGTATGCATATGTTTACAACCAATTATCAGATGATCCAACTGAAATAAAATTATCTCTAATAAATGACACGTTAAGTAAAACGAACCAAATATGATTTTTTCCTTCGAAAATTGTGAAACAAATACACATTAAAATAGAAGGGAGGGGTCGAAAGTGGGCATTATAATAAATATTAAACATATTGTTACATTTAGCTCATATTGTTCTGCTTACTTTATTTTAGCACGTAGCTCGTATTATGTAATGCATTGACTATTAAATCATAAGTATTTCTGCGCACATACAACTATGTATGTAAAGAAGAAGTAAACGAGATAGTATAGAGAAAGGCAGTGAACCAGGAGAGCGATTCATTTTATCAGCAATAAAGCTCCTTAAATTGTATTTTGGCGAGAGAAATTCGACATATAAAAAGAAGAAATAAGAATTGTTGAAAGTCCTGTCGCAACTAATGTGAAGTTGTCCACCACAATGCACAAAATTATTAATTTTTATCTTGCATCTTCTATATTGTTCTAATGGAAACTTGCAGTTTCCTAAAATTATAATCAAATATGTCTATGTACAAATTATCTGATGATATGTTGTAATTCCTGTTATATGTAAAATATAATATAAATGTTATAATCGAAATTTTAACACTTCTGACGTTTTTACTCAAATATTGGTCAATAATTGCATTGAGGTTTTGTTGGTAAGAAAATAAAGTCTGTATTTGTCTACGTACAGAAAAAAGCTGCATTTGTACATAAATATGTGCACGTAAATGCCAATTTTTGGATTCAATGATTACAAAACTTTTTTTTTTTTTTTTATAATAATGTAGACACGCCCCCGGTGTTTATCAACTGTCCCATCAAAGATCAAAATATAGTATTTATACGAATGTTAAATATGTATATAAATATTTTCTTTGTATAAATACTATGTGACCTGGTCTTCGGAAAGGGGGTTTAGGTGTCAAAAAATCTTAGTTGATTCGGATGGAAGATGAGATGCTTTTCACGTGATAGAATCCAAAAAGTCATAAACTAGTTTTCGCACGTTAGCTCCCTTTTCGTAGACCAGGTCACATATATGTACAGTCATTAAATGTATTTATGGAAAACATTTCTGAATTTACTTTTCTACATAATTCAACGATTATTTAGATAAATAGTAATTTAAATTTTAAACAAAATGGAGATTGAAAGGGAACTGAGTACTACTAAAATGCATGTAAACTTGTATATACAGATAGGTATGATGAAATACATAGGACAATATCGAAAGTAAGTATACTTATATGATATTATGGCCGTTCATATACATACATGTATGTATGTTTATAATTCTTGTGTTGTCATCAAATATGCGCTTGACTAATATGTACTTTTATTTAAAACATACATATGTATGTACATATATATGTGCATACAAGGTAGAGGTCAAAGCCAGAGGTCAGATATACATACATTTAATGTAATAAATCTCATACATATATATGTACATTAGCTTTCCTTAATGAATTTTCGCTTGTCGAAGGAAAGTGAGAGTTAAAGAAAATTATTTCAAAAAAAATAAATGTTGTGTGTACATCTGGCAAATGAACAAAGAAATAAAAAGCAAAAAATGCCGGCTTCTATATATGTAAGTGTTGTGATATTAAATACTCGTCTTCTCGTTATTTGTGTGACCTTGATTTTGTTACACCACACACTTGGTATAAGTTATTTAAATGGAGACATACCTCCAAATCTACACAGGATTTATTACGTATATCTGCCGCAAGATCAAATAGGTCAAATTCACAAAGAATTTTGTATTTATGTATCTTTTTATATAATATACATACATAAATATGTATGAATGTATGTATATATACACTTATATAAATTACCGGAAATTTCATTGTTGTATACATACGTACGTAAATATTAATATAATATAATTATATGACCATATGTATATAAATAATATATGTATATATACATATATAGTGTCGTATATATGTATGCATATAATTACAATGAAATGTATGTATTTCATCATTACTTGTGGGACTTTCTCATTGACCCATTTCCAGATATTCGGCTATAAAAATGCAATTACCATCTACGTATATTCGTGTTGAGTTGATTTCTTCTTCCCACCACAGCCGGTTCTACGACCGCAATTGACTCCGATTTTATTCAAGGCCTTTTATTTCGGTGATCTAACCCTTTGTGAATCAGTACATACACAGTAGTAAAGGTATTAGATGAATACTTCATGTCGTCCTACATACCTTTCAGAACACTTATTCAGTTTAGACTTTCTTATTTTACACTCCTTAATCTCTACTTGTTATAATTCAAAATTAATTTTTTTATAAATTTTAATTTTAAGTATAACTAGATGACATATAATACTTTAGCAAATCATTATAATCTCAGTGGCACTTTAGTGGACTTAAATCTTTGTTAATCTTCAAAACTTAAGACTATTAAAGATGGAGATGAAGCATGACGCGATGTATAGAATTGATATTGCAATTGTTATTAGTTTCGCAATTACCTCTTTTATTCGTTTTGAGTTGATTTCTTCGGACTTGGAACACAAGGGGTAGTAGATGTAATTACCACATCAGCCAAAATCTACTCGGACTTTATTCAAGGTCTGTTATTTCGGTGATCTAAACCTTTGTGAATCAGTAGATACTTAGTAGTAAGATGAGTACTTCGTGTCGTCTTAGGACATTTTCCTCAGACTTTCTTAATTTACACTACTTAATCCCTACTTGTTATAATTCAAAATTCATTTTTTTTTTTATAAATTTTAATTGTATGTTCCATAATCTCAGTGGTACTTTAAGGGATCGTCTCTTCGAGAAATCGATTGCATCTTCGGATAGTATACACTATAATAAACAATTTTGAAATCAAAATTTCAATTATTACAATCGCTACAGCGTTTCTTGTAGAAAGGGAACAGAGTGGGGAACATAGCGACTCCAATCTTTAAACGAACTGTTCTCAGAATGGTGTTTTTCAAAACGGTTTACAATCTCAAAGGAAGATACATATCTAGTTGAAATTTGGAGAGAATATTTCAACGTCATTCGCTATGAAAGCTTTTAATGGGGTATTCTAGTCTAGCAATTTGAAAAAATTGAAATTTCTTTTTTTCATAATTCGATAGTCTTGATATTCAAAAATATTTCCCTAAAAGGATTTTTCAAAACTCAAATTATTTTCAAAGTTATAGCCATTTTAGTGGAGTTGCCAGAATCGATTCTTTACATATGTCTAAGGCACTCTTCACTTCCTGTCTTAGACCATGTGTCCTAACAAACATCAAGCATTCTTTTAAAGGCGAGCTAAAATGAGAAGGGGAATCATCTCTCCCAAGGATTGTGCGCTGCGTTTGGGACCCGCCACGTAAAAAACAGCACACATGAAAAGTAAGCGGTGTCTACGCCATTAAAAAGTTTATAAGTATATTTATTTATCAAAATAATGAAAAGCTCTAATTAAGTGTTAATATAGTTCGAAATTGGAATACGTCTATATATTTAAATTTTTTTACTTATCAGCATTAAGATTTACACAAATTTTCTATTATTAAGAAAAAGAAATTACATTTAAATTTCATTACAATTTATTAGGGAATTGTAGAGGAAGTTATGACCGTATCCTTGTTCATCTCATTATTGCTGGAGTTTTCAGTAAGCCTCTCTCCGTCTTCATCAAATCTTACATGCAGGCCATGTTTAATAAAACGTCCAGCAGCGGCTTTATCTATCACCGGTCTTATGGTATTGTGCTCATATATTTGCTTATCGCGTACAATAGTTTGACGCACGCGGGAAAGTTCATTTTTTATGCCATGCTGTAATTGGTAAACAAAGTAATTTATAAGATGGTTTTGATAAATATTGGCTACCTCATTAGGATCATCTCCTCGTAGCTTAACATGCATCCAATATAATGAGTTGATTGCATATGCCAGATAATTATCTAGTTTAACTTTTTCTTGTGTTGAAAGTTCATCGAAATCTTTCAAATCTACGGCTGTGCTAAGGCTTTTTTCTATTTTATCCAAGGCACTTGAGAAATTGTTCACCGTTTTGGTAAACTTATCATCATTCCGCAGCTCGCCAAAATCCATGATTCTATTTCAAATTTTCAAAATAAAAATTCCCTACAAAAATATGTAATTCAAAACAATACTTAGCAAATTAACCATAAAATTCTCAGCTGATTTCGTTTTGTCAAACTTAAGCCCAAACTAGTTCTACGCAATAATGTGTATACATAATCATGAAATTTATGTAATATTAGATTTGGTTAATTATTTCATAAATAAAACGAATTGTGGAAAAAAAAAATGCAAGAACCAGTTAGATATACACATTTCACTACTTAAATTTGTATAATACAGTTTAGCTTAACGTGTTAGCACTACTTAATTACGTTGGGTCTATCCAGCCCATAAGGTTTTGGTATTACTCTAAATTGATTAGGCATCACTGGTAATTTTATCCACATAAGTTTGTTGTATATGAGAGTTTCTTTTATGTGTAAAAGCTTGCAGAAAAAGGTTTCTTAAAAACTATTAAAATGGCCAGTAATTTTAATGAGGAAGGTCCAACACGTAAAAATGAGGAATATGAAGGTCCTCGAATTAATGGAGTTGCTCAGAAGTTTCTTGCGGACCTGAACGAAGAACGAGAACGCTTAGGTAGCGAATTTCCTTTATGTGTTCAGGTCATTGACGAAGGTATACGCTGTAAGTAGGGTTATATGCGACCGACTTATCCAAAACTTACAATTTTAGCAATTGAACGAGTGTACACAACTGGTCGAATTCCAGGCACTGAATACTTGGCTGATGTGTATAAACAAAAACCAATGAAGATTACTCAAAAAGTGTTCGTTCCTGTTAAGCAATATCCCAAGGTATATAATATTGCATACTCATAGAATTTAACATATTTGATAATTTTTTTTTGGTTCCAGTTCAACTTTACAGGAAAATTATTGGGGCCGAAGGGTAATTCATTAAGACGTTTACATGAAGAGACGCAGTGTAAAATTATTATAAAAGGCCGTGGTTCAATGCGGGACCGTAATAAGGAAGAAGAACTAAGACAATCAGGTGATCCTCAACATGCGCACCTAAATAGAGATCTCTTCATAGAAATAAGCACTGTAGCAACTCCTGCTGAGGCACATGCACGAATTGCTTACGCTTTAGCAGAAATACGTAAATATCTTGTACCAGATAAAAACGATGAAGTTTCACAAGAACAACTGCGGGAACTTATGGAAATAGATCCAAAATCTGCTGAAACATATTCAAAGTAAGTTTCCATAAGATAATGTTCATACGGTAATATTTAAAAAAAAAAAATTTCAGGACGGTGCTTAATAAGTTCTCGACTGGTGAAGGTGCATCTAAATTTTTAAATCTAATTAAGCATCACGGCGCTTCCCCAGAGAGGTAAGTGTAATCGATTTGTAAGAAGATTGTTTAATGTAATGGACGCTTGTATATGCTTATTTTCTTGTTTTTTCAATAAGATCATCTTTTAGGTCAAGACTTTGTAACAGATATGACTGGTTTGTTTAGTAATATATTTAGTCGCCATATTAAATAAAATTTTGTTTTTTAAATGACTATGGAGTAAATTTCTTGGTGTACTTAAAAAATTAACGAAAGTTCACAATTTTCACAATAGTTGGGTGTACGAAACCGTAACAGTCCATGATTTTTATCCGACTATATGCTGTCGACTATCCCACAATCTTCAAATGATATCCATGAGAGCATTTAATAAATAAATTATTTTCATTCCTTTTTGAAATAGGCAACTCCTTCGAACCTACTTTTATAATTTGTTAAAACTTACTTTTCTCATATTTCAGTTTAGAGGAACAGTATGAAGAAATAATTGAATATCAACCTCGAATCCCAAAGCGTACTATTCCAACTCCATATATAAAAGGTATGTTGTCTACAAATAAGTACTTCAGAAATTTTTGCTATACTAAGTATTTAGAGTATATATATGTATATGTATATATATATATATATATAATGGCGTGGGTATTAATAACAATGCAATATTATTTATTAAACAATCAAAGATAAAAAAATTGAAAATTTCTTATAACTTTGTATATAAAATAATAATTTTGAAATAATTAAGTAAAAGTTATCCCATCAACAGTGCCTATAAAACGACCACCAACTACTCTTATTGGATCTGGATTTAAGCGTACACGTGAGACTGCAGTCAAACCTTATAAACCAATATATCAAAGTATTATTAGGAAATACAAATAAATTTATGATGATATAAAATCTTACAGAATCAAACATTGTAATCATAACTAACTACTATTCAAAAAATAATATAAAATTCAAACATAAAATCAATATTATATTAATCACTACATTTTCGCAATAAACTGAATATTGATAAAATTAATGTAATTGTATGTCGTCTAGAATTTGTGTGCAAATAATAATAAAGAACAATACAACTAATAATAGTTTACATTTTATCTGAATAACTTAACAAAGTTTATAATATTATAAAAAATATTCATATAATACATAATACTCTTACTTCAATCATGTTAATCTGTGTTACTGAAATAAAACAACAAAATTGAATAACTTTCGAAATTGATAAAGCTGTTATATGTATATAAAAAGTTTCAAAAGATAAAATTGGCTAAATTATAATGTAATAATATGTTAAAACAAAAAATTGTGCGAAACGGAATTGCTCATAATGTAGTTAATAAAATTAGGGACTTGAAAATTCTATAATTTAATAACATTAGAGCTAGAATAACCATACTCAATTTTATACATACGAATTTTTGTTATTTATGAAAAATTTGGTTAAAAATATTAACCAGTTTTTTTTTTTTTTGTATATAGTCCATATTGGTAAACGTTGCAAGTTGGATTTAATATGAAAGTATATAATGAAAAAATATAGTAATAGTAGCGTGTTGTGGCACAGGAAGTTCCTAAACCACCTATTAGAACGAAGGAATACATCTTAAATTTTCAACAAGTTTTACGAATGTAATCGCCCTTTTCAACGTCATCGATGAACAAAACTCGGACAAATAAAATTTTGAGATACAACTCAACGAGATAATGGAACATTACAATAAAAAACATAAAAACTTTATTCGATTTTCGATGGTAAAGTACGTAATTATTTAGCAGTTTCCAACAAAAGTTCTTTGAATGATAATATTTTTAAGTTTTGTTTGTTTTTTCTATTTAAACCACAAGAAAAAAGTATTTATAAAGTTTGCATTAAGTTCAGATTTTAGTAACGAATATTATACGGTTGGGATCATGTTAAAGGATATCGGATATTCTCTATTTTATAGAAAGCTGCACCAGATGTTGAATCCATGTGGAAAATTCGTTTGAAACTAATTTGAAGTTTCATCTTCACAGCGTACTTTCCTAACTAGACAATCTTGTTTGAGAATATATAATTTCATTAAAAGTAGTTGCAAATTTTAATTCCAGTTGTGTAATTATTGCGTTTGTACAGTAATGTTTTTTTTTTACTGTTTAGTGTTTTAAGAAAATGTTTAACATATCGATACCAAAAATTTATATTTTAATCATTATAAAATGGTTAAATTCGGTTAATTATAATTTTAGAGACAGAAATCATATCTCATATTTTTTCTAATTTAAAATAGAATTGGAAGCATCAGTACACCCCGACGATGTTATATATCATAATTTGAATGCACCTCTCAGCTGAGTCCCAGTTGAATAGAGTCAACAATTTGGATCTTATCCGAATGAAGATAGAGAACTAACTTGGATAAATAATCAACATGGCAAATGTTAAACAAGATCTGGTCATCTGTTACAAATGCTTGAAGAGCATATAACCAAAAAATATATGTGTTAACATATCGAACTTGGACCTGCGTAGTTCTTGTCAAGTGTCCTGTGAATCAAAAATATGATGTTGATAAATATGAATAAATCATATCTCAATTTGTGTTAAAAATCGTATTTATTCGATTATTCTAACAAATGTATTCGCGAAGACATATAAGTGTGTCGCTAAGCAATTATATACTGCGGATTCGGTCAAGTGGGCCATGGCCTCGTTTGAGAAATTCAAGTCTCCGGGTGTGGATGGATATCGAAGGTGCTTTTGACAACACATCTCACATGAGTGTAGCCGGGGCACTGGAAGAAAGTAATGTGGCAGCACCGGTGCGTAGATTGATAGAGGCCGTACTGCGTACCAGAATTGCTGAAACCACAGTAGGAGATACAAGGCTTCGTCTTGGCAGAACAAGAGGCTGCCCACAGGGGGGTGTGCTATCACTGTCTGCATGTCGGGCGCAATGCGCACTTGTCCAACGGCAGCATTGGGTGTCCTGCACACACTTCTGGGTGTGGCAAAGGCAAGGTAATCTCGTCCAACAGCAGCTTTGGATGTCCTGCTTGAACCTACACCGCTTCATTTAGTGATCGGTCAAGTAGCCAAGCACACACTTCTGCGTGTGGCAAAGGCAAGGTAATCTCGTTCCAAAGGATGGAAGTGATAAGTGACAATATACTATTAGCCCTCCTCCAGAAGGATAGCATTACTAAAACTGTTAACTTCACGAAGAAGTTTAAGGTTACCCTCGGCAGCAAGGGTGGCTCGAAAACGTCGGAGGGAATCGCTGCAGGGATCGAGGGTTCACGCACCTAGCTCTCCATACCTATGGGAAGTTTAACGAGCATTATCCAGGCAGAAGTCTTTGCCATAAGTCAGTGCATAGAGATAAACCTACATCACCACTATCACAATGAGCGGATAACCATACTTAGCGATAGTAAAGCGGCACTTAAAGCGATCTCCTAATACGGGATCAAATCGCTACTAGTGCGGGAGTGTAGACAACGGCTGAACAGCCTAGCAGAACGAACCAGGTGCACCTAATTTGGGTGCCTGGTACAGCGGTAAGCCAGTGATGAACTGGCTGATGATGAAAATGTAATTTGTAAAATCTGAAAATAAGTTTGAAGTTCAATTTCGATAAAAAAAAATTTGATTAGTTATACTGGCAGCACTGATACACATATGTATTGCGCGCAAGAAGAAATGTAAACAAATCATTTATAAGAAACAGATATTAACATAAAAAAATATATTAAAATAATGAGAGCAAAAAAACACCTTGTATTAATTGTAGTTCGAATACGTACCCATTGTTAAACGCCGAGAACTTCTATAATCTGGGGCAAGTACTGCCAAATTAAATAAAAAATGCTTAAAATAGTGAACACCACCATATGAAATAACATTCATTTACACATATTTAGAATAAATTTGACGGGTGTTTAAACATACCTATGTTTAGGTTTTTTTGATAACTTTTTAGAAATTTTCAATATGTACTTTTTGTGAATTTAAAAATGTTTAAAGAAAAGTTCAAATACTACAAACGAAAATCACCTGTTCCAGATTTTGGCTCTGTCATAGATCTTGATAAAAATTTCCAAGAAATTGCCGCACATGTAAATTTACTTTATATTATGAGTATTATTTTGAGTAGCGTAAAATAAAAATATTAATATCAACGCAATTCTTCAATTTAGGTACACCAAGTGGACTTAACCCACAGACAAGATGTGAATGAACAGTTTCCAGGTCTAGAACCTATAAACAATTGGGTCTGTTATACTCTTAACTCCTCAGGTGCTATTGTAATAAGAAATCCATTCACCATGCAAGGCCAACGTTACTGGATGGCTCGTTGTTTAAAAGACTACCCGCAAACTCCAAATATAAATAATTTAAGCCCACAACTCTTTTCCATAGAAGTGCTAAATGATTGGTGGCAATCTTTACAACAATGCACTGACATAGATGAAATACGTCGTATGAACATCTCAATGAGATGGACTACTCTTGGGTACCACCATGATTGGGATTCTAAAAAGTACTCTGAAGAAAAGCGTGGGGAGTTTCCAAAAGATCTTGCCTCATTAAGTGCACACTTTGCTTCTGTTTTAGGATTTAAATTGTATGAAGCACAAGCAGCAATTGTAAATTTTTACCCAATCGGTACAACCCTTTCTGCTCATACAGATCATTCAGAGCCTAATCGAACAGCTCCATTGTTCTCTTTTAGGTACCATTCAAATTCATAGAAATTTATATAAATTATTAATGCAAACTATTGTTTTAGTTTCGGACAAACTGCGATATTTTTGATTGGTGGAAGAACAAAAGAAATGTCTCCATTAGCAGTATATTTACGTAGTGGAGATGTGCTCATTATGTCTGGTGAATCCCGTTTATGCTATCATGCTGTTCCACGTGTAATGAAAGCTCGTGATGAACCTTGGAACAATTTTGTTCATACAGAAAGTTCAATATCCATAAGTTCGCCCAGCCTTAAAAGAGCCCGAATAGATTCTACGCTAGTTGAAAAAGTTAATTCATATGGTATAGATACAACATTATATAAAAAAGTAATTGACGAAGCATTTTGGTTACCATTTAAAAACTACCTTAATTGTGCGCGCATCAACATTAATGTGAGACAAGTTTTAAATGCTGGTGTAACCAGGTTACCAAGTTTGGATAGTAATACTGAAGATATAAAAAAACGAATGCAAATAGTAATGACATAATATTTTTTTAGTATTACTATAATAATACATGTAAGAGGTGTATGTTACTAGTTTAAATGTAAATATATATTGTATTAAATTGATGAAAAAGGTGAACATATTTTTCATTCTGATTCCATCTGGCGCACTGAAAGTAAAATCATAATTTGCGATATCACAACTGTAATAAATTGTGAATTACTTTCAGCAAAAATGTGTAATTATAGTAATAAATGCAGGAAAAAAGTGACCATAGCTGTTTAATTCAAAATTGTTAATTACAATCAACTCAAAGTACCATAAACATAAATTATCTGAAAAATTAGTTTTTAAGTAAAATCGTACTCTCTATTGGTTCGAAATCATAGGTAAGTCATATTCCTGTGTTTGTTTTTTATGAAAAACCTGAAAAGGTGATGTGCTCATCAGAAACGGGCGTGATAGATGAAGACTATGTGTTGGAACAAGATGACATAGAGCCAGAAAGTCGTACAGATTTACACCCAAGACAAATGGCCATAAAAAATATCGGATTTTCTTCACCGGAATTCGTTGCTTTGAATTCTATCATAAGGGAAAACAATGAAACATTTAGGTATACTATTTTTTTTTTTACACGATATGCTTCATTCTTATGCTGCATATTTTTACAATACAACTAAACTCTGAACTTGCCTTGCTATTAGTGCTGCGTGTCATTATAACCGACTTGTTGGTAAAATCGTCCTATTAATACAGAGAAATATTAAATCAACCTAAAGTTGTTTAGGACTGATCGGGGCGTAACATACCGTTTTCGGATCGTAAATAAAATAATCCATGTGTTGTTATTCAATAATATATCGTTACTAGTATCCTTTTTCCGAATATATGTTGCGATTCTACTAAAATATAAATTGGAAAGAACCAAATATGTACATAAAATATTTAACTTCACACTAAAGAATTTTTATTTGTCAATCAAGCGAAAAGATTATCACAGTTTTTTCTTAATTGTAATGTTTTCCGGTGCCAAGTGTTCATTTGTTGTTTCCTATAATATTTACTATTACTAAACTAATTACGAAAATTGCGTACATTTCGAAGAGTAAGGCTTTATGATCACATTTTCCAAAAACCTAAAGTTTAACTAATTTCTTCTTTTGATTTTAAATACAAAATGGTAATTGTTCATTATAGTGGCTTTTCTGAAAAAGCAAACAATGTAATTTTTACGAAGTTAAGTATATACTTTTATTCATTCATTTACATGTTTTTATTTATGTTTCTATCGGGTGTATAACGTAATGCCGACAATCAAAACACCGACAAAACAAAATGCCTTGTCGGAAAGAAGAAATTTTAAAATAAGGCACATTAATAAAAAATATTAAATACATAAATACATTTAATAAAAAATTGGTTAATATGAGTAATTAAAAACAAAAAAAAAAACTATGTGTATCTATAAGATAAGAGTTTGCTGGCTGTAAGAGTTTTTTTTTTCTTCTTTTTTAAAGGCGCGATTTTGGCTCAAATAATCGAGTATAATATGTTAGTAAAAATAGAAAATAATGGAAAAAAAACTTCATCTGATTACATCGTGAAATCCATCACCTTTAAAACGCATATAAATATTTTTCTTCCAGATGAGCCGGTAACAAGTTGTAATATTCAACACTTTTTTTCAAAGCGCCTCTGGAGATTCACCGTCACAGGCGTTTTTTTTTCAATATTTTTCATTGAAAATGTTTTCGTTTCTTCAAAAGTTGTACAATAATATGCCATTAAATTTAATTAAATTATATTACTCATGTCGCCACAAAAAAGCTTTATCCTTTATCCTCTATCTTTTTTTGCCTTTAAAGCCTTTAAATTGGGAAAATGATTTTCTGACCTTAACTGAAAAAACTGTCTGCGCCTTATTTAGCGGTCAATTAACATTAAGAGATCGTTTCAGTATGAAATTTTCGGGAAATCGGATTTTTTGGATCGGATTTGCATTTTCGGATAGTACACAATATAATAAACATTCTCTAAAATTTTGAATACGAAATTCAAATTACAGTCGCTGTAGCGTTTATTGTAAAAGCGTTTATTGTTCTAATCTTTAATGCGTTTTTCGCAGAATGGTGTTTTTAAAAACGGTTTCACACTCTGGTAGAATTTTGTAGATATCTAATCTAATTTGGAGAACATTTTTAATGTCATTGGCTATCGTACTATGGAAGCTTGCATTGTTTTTTTGAAATTTTGCTTTTTTTTCTACGCCACCATTTTGTCAAATTTAAAATAATAAGAAAAACTTCCATAACGCGATAGCGACTTTCCTACAGATTAATAATCTTTTTGAAATTTTTTTTTAAGTCCAATATTGCGACGCAATCGTGGATATCGTACAGGACCTTTTTTTACGTGCAATTTTAGCAATTTATTTAACTACCATACACCCAATAAATAAACATAATCATAATCATCACATCATATATCATTTTTTATTCGTAATTCCAACATTTAAAAAAACCGTGAAAATGACTGATTGTTCGAACAATCATTTTAAGATATTTTCCCAAAAATAGGGATAGGGCCCTGGCGGCTTTTGAGCTCTGAGCATTTAACCTAAATTTTGTATCGATATGTTCCAATTTACGTTGTGATTATGTTGAAACTTGACCATGGTTGAAGTCTTTGTTAACGATTGCTCAATCGTTTGCATTCTTAAAGAAATTTTGTGTAAATTTAAATGCTTCGATTTGGTAGCACCGTCAACCAGGTAATTTTACCTGGCTTAAAGGAACAAAATTGACAGGTCGAACAGTTAAGTTTAAAAGGAAAACAGCTGCCATTTTAAAAGGATGAATAATCTGTAAAGTTTCGCTGAAACATTGTTTATTATAGTTATTTTTTATTTTGTGATTTTAAGAAAAATCAATAAAATTGTGGAGCATTTAAACAAATGAATCGTATTGAAATTGTGAATTTAATCGATCTTAGTATTGAGGATGACGATAAACAAATACAAACGTTGCATCAAAGTAATGCATCGCCGAGTAGTCTGCACAATCCCGAACAATCAATTATGGAGTGTACATTACCAGATGTTCTTATTGTAGAAAATGAAGGGCGTGAAAGTCTTGATAACAACCCTTTTGACTTGGCGCAAAAATTATCAACTCGACCCGAAGATCCTTTTGATATAGTCGAAAAGGAGGCTTGCGTAAAGGTGGGCAAAATATATTAAAATTAAATACTTATTACCGATTACTTTTATCATAAAGGCACGTTATTCTATGCAACCCCAAAATGAAGTTAAGGTCGGAAAGCTTTTATCACTCAGCGATGACAATATACTGGATGATGATGGTACGTGTCCTGTTAAAGAAACGGCTAC